ACACCTGGAGCTCAATATACTATTTTCCTCTGGCTCTGGAGGTTTACAGTTTTGCGGGATCCATACAGTTGTATCCCACCTGTCCTTCCAGTCTGTCTTCTGGGGGAGGGGCCTGCTGTGCTGCTTCTCAGGTGTCTTTGCCTGGAAACAGAGGTGTCCCTCACCTTGTCAGAGGGATGGGATCAATGTAAGCTGGTTGTCTGTATGGCTTTTGTTCCCTGAAGACTTTCTGTTCCTCTTCAGAGGATCAGAGCAAAAATGGCCATGTGCAGATCTCTGGCCCAGAGCCAGAAGATCATGGTAGCACCATCTTCAATAAACCCTTCAGGACAAACAATCTCCACTTCTGTGTGCGCCAAACTCCACAGCATCCCACAGTAGGCGCCCACCCCAATCCTCTTGTGGGGAGATCGAGGGACCGGTCAGTGCCACTGCCCTTTGTCTGTGGGACTATGAGTGGTAGTGGGCTCTCCAGCACAGCCTGCTCTGCTGCTCCCGGGTCATGACTGGGTGCCGCCCTACTGTCCTTTCCAGGGCCACCACTGCCCTGAGAGCTGTTGCCCAGTTGTGGATGCCGCCATTTTCCCCCCTTCCAGGTGATAGTAAATGGCTCACATGTTCCAGTCCTTTACAGGGTGTTCAGGCAGAGTTGGTCTCCCTGCTGGCCCAGCTCATGTTTTATGGTAACTGGAGCTGAGAGTCCCTCCTGGGCCTGCTGAATGTAACCAGTTTCCCTGCTCCACTGCTTGGACACTCAACCCATTCAGGCACCCCCATTCTTTCTGTGACTCCTGGGATCCTGAGACCACAGTGGCCCACCTAGAATTCTGCTTTTTTCATCCCCTGGGCTCCTTTCAAAAAGGGACGGCTCTCACTGGAGCAGATTTCTAAGGGTTCTGATTTTGCCCTCTGGTGTTACATCACTTTTCAGTGGCCAGCTTATGGAAGCTCCCTCCTCCTCTGTTTATCTTCCAATAGTTCCCTGCAGATTCATGACTGCACAATTCCTGCCTTGCAAAAAACAGTCACTTTTTTGCTTGTTGGGTTCCGGATATATTTTTTTTTATGTCTCAGGTTGAATTCGTGGGTGTTCAGAATGGTTGGATAGATATTCAGCTAAATTCAAGGGATCAGATGAAATGAAATCCCCTACTCTTCTGCCATCTTGCCTTTTCCCCTCCACCACCTTCACTTCATTAATAGACATCTAAGATTCCACATTCCTAAAGTGGATGCCTGTGATGCTGCCTCCCCAAATGGGGAGTCTTCCCCATTTCCACAGAAGGCACCCCACTTTTTAAATTGTAGTCTACTGAATGCAGTGCTACTGAAGAAACATCAGTCATATTGATCTGTTCATTCTTCAAATTCCACATCTCAGAGAAAACTCAAAACCATTCTAAACTTTTAATTTTTTGATTTTATTTATTTATTTTAAAGATTTTTATTATTTATTTGACAGAGATCACAAGTAGGCAGAGAGGCAGACAGAGAGAGAGAGAGAGGAGGAAGCAGGCCCCCTGCTGAGCAGAGAGCCGGATGCAGGGCTCCATCCCAGGACCCTGAGATCATGACCTGAGCTGAAAGCAGAGGCTAAACCCACTGAGCCACCCAGGTGCCCCTAGATTTTATTTATTTATTTGACACACACACACACACACAGACAGCAAGACAGGGAATACAAGCAGGGGGAGTGGGAGAGGGAGAAGCAGGCTCCCCGCTGAGCAGGAAGCCCAACGTGGGGCTCAATCCCAGGACCCTGGGATTATGACCTGAGCCGTAGGCAGATGCTGAAAGACTGAGCCACCCAGGTGCCCCAAAACCATTCTAATCTTGAGGCTTGGACCTCTAACCTCATCTCACCTGCTCTCTGCTGCAGCCACAGTGGCCTCCTCACCCTTCTTTGACACAGGACTTGCTCCTGCCCTAGTGCATGTGCACCAGAGGCTCCCTGCCTGGAAAGAACTGTCCCCAGACCTCCTCTTACACAATTCCTTCATGTCCTTCAAAGCCCTCAGACATCACCTTCTCAGTGAGGTTCCCCTGATCCCTGGAGTAAAGGACCGTCGTCCCTGTCCAAGTACAGGGACTCTCTGGGTTTCCTTCCTCACAGCTCCTGCCAACTTCCAACTTAAACACTTCCCTTATTACTGCGCTTACACAATACGCAGTTCACCTCCGAGTGACATTGGTTTGCACGGTGCCTGTGCACCTGCATGAAGATTTTTTTTTACAGTAAGTACTGTCCACGTCTTTCCTCTTCCTTATGACTTCTACTATTTTCTCTAACTTTATTCACTGTAAGAACACAGTATATACTACATGTAACATGCAAATGTGTTAAGCAACCCTTCATGTTATCAGTGAGGCTTCCAGCAACAGTAGGCTATTAGTTCTTATGTTTTGAGGGAATCAAAAGCTGTATTTGGATTCTTGGCTTCATGAGAGGGTCCCTGCCCCAATCCCCACATTGTCTGAGGGTCAAGATTATGTCCCCACATAATCTGCCTCTTACACTAGAAAATAGTCTTCACAAAACCAGGATGTTTTCCCTCTTCTTAGTCTCACTGAGGTATCCCAGATGTAAACACAGCATGTCCTGTATGTGGCACATGACAGTTATCAGTTGAATGAATGAGCAGCTAGAGGACTCCATCTTCTAGATGTGCCTCAGACACAGCTATTCCGTGGCAGCTCCTACCTCTGTGCGCCCACCTCGCCATCAGTGCTGTCTCTCTCCCCTCACAGGGCTGCCCTCTCCTCCCTCTCTCTGCTCAGCCCCTCCCCCCACACCATCTCTTCTGCACAGCACAGCACAGCACACAGAGTTCTCTCTCCAGAAACACTGTACTCAGGCTTTATGGGTCCTTTTCTCCAACCACGCAGAAAGCTACTGTTAGACTCTGCTTTATAAATCCATGACCTTTGGTCAGAGCGAGAACTAGGAACATGAGAACTAAGGACAGGGCAGCAGGGAAACTAACTGATGTTTAATAAGGATGAGAACTTCTCAGAATTTCCCCTCTCTCTACCTCCAGAATCCTAAGAATAATCTAGAAAACAGTTCTAGACTGAGGAGAAGAGAAGGATAAATCTGAAAGCTCATCTCTCCCTATCACAGAGACTACTGTGTGCAGGGGATGACCTAGGCCTGTGGGAACAATAGCTTAAAGGCCACCTGCTGCTGTAACTGACAGGGTCACCCTGGGGATAATGAAATCTTGTACACAAGAGCAAGAACAGGTCTGATGCTCTAGAGAAACAATAGAAACAAAACAAAACAACACTCCACTCCAAAATGGAGACAATGACCTGATACAGGCCTGAGGCAAGGCTAACCCTGTCACAGGAAGCTCTTGCTGCACAAGGTCCTGGTGACTGGTGACATCTAAGTCCCTGTGATCACAGGTCCTGGTAGATAAGCTTCCACACAAGGAGCAAGGACACAGAGGAGACAGATGACCCAGCTGAGGGGGGAGCACGTCACGACCATGATGCACTGAGCACAGACTGGGCACAGACCCTGTCCCCGCTTGGCTCTTCACAGCCTACTCCTACCTCCACCTGCAACAGACTCAGCACAGCAAACACATGGATTCTGGAAGGTTCTCAGTGTTTCCATTTATTTGCTATCTCAACTTTAGAAATCTCCTCTTTTATTACCTCATCAACCCCACATGCCAAGAATAAGGAAACACAAACTTATATCTGGATTCTCACTTTCAATACAGAAGTAAGTCATTAGCATTCAGCCTAACATGAAATAAAGACAGGGATGGAGATGGTCTAGTCCTGCTTCTGCTGGAATAAGAAAGCATATCAGAGAAGAGAATGCAAATCAGTACAGAGGGTAGGTGTCATGGGCAGGGTGGGCCAATCTCCCATGTCCTCACATTAAGCTCATAGGAACACAGACACATTCTGACACTCTTTGTAGAAAAAATCAGGGGTTGTTGATGTCACCAAGTGGGAGTGTGAACAAATCTTGCATCCTTCAGTCTTCGCAGGGCAGCTCATCTCACACTGTGAAAAAAAAAATCATGTACAAATTTAGGTCAGTCACATAAGTGCTGACCTTCTCAACAGCTCTCCAGATGCTCACAGTGTCCCCAATGCCCAACCCATCCCAACTTCAGGGTTCCAGGGTCTCACCTTTAGGAGCCATGAGAGACTCATCAGAGCCCTGGGCCCTGACATCGCCTAGGGGAGAACAAAACAGGATGTGGTCAGAGCCCATGAGAGGACAAAAGGAGAAGTTATGGGATGGGTGAGCTCCCCATGGGGTCCTGTCTATACTATCACCCCCCCACCCCCAATACTTACATGCAGTGTGAAAGTAGTCTGGTCCTTTTCCTCCTGTGGAAAGAAAATATCATGTCAGAGGCCTAGGACAGGGTGGGACCATGAAATCCTAGAGGAATTCCTAGTCCTAATTCAAAATGAAGTTTACAGAATTCTGACTGACAATCAAGGAAACATGAAGAAAGAGGGGTGGAGTCTCTGGGACACCTGACTTGTCCTCAGCAGGAACCTTCCTCTCTGTCCTGTGACTGCTGGGCATCAGGTCCCCATTACCAGAATTACCAAGATGAAAATGTGTCCTTCATTTTCACCAAGTGTTTGCTACAGAATGAGTGCTAGTCATCAGCTCCACAGTGGGAAATTCCATGTGTGAGGATGGTAATTCCCAGGAACAAGATAGGACAGTTTGCTACCTAGGAACCCCCCCCCCCCCAGCGGGATAAGAAACCTCAGATCCCCCCACTCCATTCCCCACCTGAGCACTTCTTCTTCCAGATGACAGCTACAATCACTGCAGTGACCACCAGGAGAAACAGACTAGCAATGATCCACATGATGGGGATGGTAGGAGGTGACAGCTCTGGAAAGGGAGGCAAGGAGAGGGGCCCAGACTCTGGTTTGAATCTTGACCCTGCTGAAGTTCTTGAGAAGGATTTTACTTTGCCTGAGAAGAGGCTCTACCCGAAAACCCTCCTTACTCCATCTCAAGGTGATGGGCTCAGGCAGCCCTTCATGCTGCACATGGCATGTGTATCTCTGCTCTTCTCCAGAAGGCACCACCACAGCCGCCCACTTCTGGAAGGTTCCATCCCCTGCAGGTCTGGTCTCCACAAGCTCTGTGTCCTGGGTTAGGTCCTCCCCATCCCGCTGCCAGATCAGGGTGATCTCCGCAGGGTAGAAGCCCAAAGCCCAACACCTCAGGGTGACATCACGGTTAGAGATGGGGTGGTGTGTCACGTGTGTGTTAGGGGGTTCTGAGGAAGAGAATCAGAAAATCCACACTTGGGTTTACCTTTATGGGACACTGAAATGGCATTCATGTGACCATCCTGAGGTGGACCCAGCAATTTCACCAGATGTTAGAGGTTCAAAGCCCAATCACCAACCGAGCCTTTGGAATCTCCTAATCCAGGGGTCCTGGAATCAGGGACAGAGCCCAGGGTAGGAGACTGCAGGTCTAAGGGGAAAGCACACTAATGATCCTGACTGCAACGGAGGGTGGATGCGTCAGAAAACCTCCAGTCAGAGCTCAAAGATGTTTGTATTGGAGAAAAAGGCCTTAAGAGGAAAAGTCATGGTTGCCAAGATGGCTGCCAGGGTCACAGGGAACCAATGATGGGTTATTTCAAGGATGGTCTCCACCTGCCTCCTGGGAGAGACTGGATTCCTCAGTTGTCCTTAGAGAAAAGCGGCCCTCTGGGTGAGTCACTCTCTAGTAGGAACCTGAACACCCAGGCGGACCTCCCTCTTCCCACCCGTGGGAGGGCGTTGTTCTGACATCGAGACCATTTTCCCTTCCTGGTGGGAAGCCAGCCCCAGGGGAGGGGAGATCAGGGAGGCCCCGCGGCCCCTGGTACCTGCGCGCAGCAGTGTCTCCTTCCCGTTTTCCAGGTACCTGCGGAGCCACTCCATGCACGTGACCTCCAGGTAGTCCCTCTCATACTTCGCCGCACCCGCGCGCTCCCACTTGCGGCGGGTGATCTGCGCTGCCGTGTCCGCCGCGGTCCAGGAGCGCAGGTCCTCGTTCAGGGCGATGTAATCCGCGCCGTCGTAGGCGAACTGACTGTACCCGCGGAGGAGGCGCCCGTCGGGCCCCTGGTCACAGCCGTACATGCGCTGGATGGTGTGGAATCCTGGTCCCGCCCCGACAGGCAGGGGGTTAAGTCCAAATCGAAAGTAAAACCGCCTAAAAATTCCCGCGGGTTGTTTCGGGTTAGGAGTACTGGTGGGTCCCCCAGCCTCAGGGTGGAGCTCGGACCCGGGACTCTCGAAGAGACCCCTCCCGTCGGTGGGGATGGGGGTCGTGACCTGGACCCCGGCCCTGTAACTCACCGGCCTCGCTCTGGTTGTAGTAGCGGAGTGCGGTCTGCAGGTTCACTCGGAAAGTCTGTGCGGTGTCCTTGATACCCCGCGTCTCCCCGTCCCAATACTCTGGCCCCTCCTGCTCCATCCACGGCGCCCGCGGCTCCATCCTCCGACTGGCAGAGTCGCTGTCGAAGCGCACGAACTGCGTGTCGTCCACGTAGCCGACGGCGATGAAGCGGGGCTCCCCGCGGCCGGGCCGGGACACGCCGGTGTAGAAATACCTCATGGAGTGGGAGCCTGCGGGCGCGGAGGGGCTGAGACCCCGCCCGACCCTCCTCCCGGCGCCGGCCCCGGGGCCCAGGAGGAGGCGGCCGGGAAGGCCGGAGGAGGGGGCACCGAGTGGGGGAGAGCAGGGCAGAGGCGGGGAGGGACGCAGGAGCACAGGCAGGGGTGGGGCCGGGGGCGCCTGGGGCGGGAGCGGCGGAGAGGCGCCTCCCCAGGGGTCCCGCGTCCCTGCTCGGCAGTCCCCTCGCTACCGCTCCCGCCCGGGCAGAAGTCCTTTCCTCCCGCCCCGCACTCACCCGCCCTGGTCTTGGTCACCGCCAGGGCCCCTGACAGCAGCAGGAGGAGGATTGGGGACCCCATGGTCCAGACCCCTCAGGATCTGAGGAGTAACTGCGTCTGGGCGGTCTGGTGAGGACTTCAGAACCCGGAACCGGTGTTCCGATGACTGGTGTCTCTAAAAACCTGACACCCAATGGGAGTGCGAACTGGGACCGCATCACGAGTATCCAGGCAGGAGGAGGTGACACAGGTTGGGAGAGGGAGAAGTGAAACCCTGGTAGATGGGCTGAGCTACTGGCCGGAGACAGGGCACTGGGGCCTGAGACCCTGAGAGGCAGGTACAGGGACCTGAGCCTTTTACCTCCACCCCTCATCTACCTCACAGGGTGCTCTCTGTCAATTTGTTTCCTTGAATCGTGGCCCAGGAGCTGTGGGTCATTGATCCTCAAACATTTTCTTGGAAGGATATCTATACAGTCTCACAGATTACTGAGGACCCCAACGATAATTTTATGAATGTAGGTTATAGCTTTCAATATTGGTCATAGTAGGAACTGTTTAAAAAATTTACTGGGACGCATGTGTGGCTCAGTCACATAAGCCAGCAACTCTTGATTTCAGGTGGTGAGATAAAGCTGCACCTCTGTCTCAGTGCTAAAGGTGTAGCCTGCTTAAGATCCTCTCTCCTTCTCTCTCTGCCCCTTTCTGCTCACTCTGTCTAAAAAATGAAAAATAAAAAAAATTAATTCCTTTAGAATCATATGAATAACCCATGGCACAAAAACAGCAATACTGTTTTTATGAAAAATAATTAGTTCCCCAAATCAACAGGATAGTGAGAAGAGTTGATTTTGTTACACTTTGCATTTTCGCAAGTCTTTTTCTTATCTGCCTCATAGAAGTCACTAGATGTTCAGATTTGCTTCTGCATTTATTGCATTGTTTTGGGTGAAGTGTATGAAAAACATTTATAGCCTTGCACAGATATGGGAGACAGTAGGTTTCATGACCTTTTCAGATATTCGGCTTTGATACTATATTCAACCTACACACGTTGTACTTTCTCTAAGGTTATTGGTGATGTGGCACCTAAAAAGTATCGTTGACTATTTCCTTTTCTGTTACATTAAAATCCACAGGCCCATCTTGTGCACTGAAGGGGTCTTATACTAATGCATGATTTTTTAAAAAAGATTTATTTATTTATTTATTTGACAGACAGAGATCACAAGTAGGCAGAGAGGCAGGCAGAGAGAGAGGAAGGGAAGCAGGCTCCCTGCTGAGCAGAGAGCCCGATGTGGGGCTGGATCCCAGGACCCTGGGATCATGACCCGAGCCTAAGGCAGAGGCTTTAACCCACTGAGTCACCCAGGCGCCCCTAATGCATGATTTTTTTTTAAGTAATGTGTTGTTGCACTAAGTTATAAAGGTGTTCCAGTGTTGATGAGACTGAAAAGAATTATTAAAAAGTCACATTTTAAAAAATATTACCACAAATCCCAACAGAAAGTTTTTAGTAGTGAGAACCTGTCAAGTTTGTTGGTAGATCACAAGTTTTCCAAAATTGAGAGCTCACATTTGATCAAGGCAACTAGTACTCTCAGCTGTCATATGTGAGTTGATTTTCATGAATGAATATGTTCCTATTCATTTCCCAGAAACTGCCTGTCAAATTGCCTCATTCAAATTATCCAAGTTTCTATGTCATCCATTCCTTCAGATAAAAATGGCATTGTGTAAAGGAAAAAACAGGGGCCAGTTAACCAGATAAGTTCATACAAATTTCATACAAATTACTTACCTTGGAGCTTAGGGATATGGCAGAAGTGCTGCTGTCCATCTCACATATCGTGTAAGACATGTTTAAAAATGGATTTGAGAATAATTTAGTAAAGATAATAATTTTTGGTGCTTCAACCAGGATTTATTTTAAATATTTATTTATTTATTTATTTATTTGACACAAGTATGCAGAGAGGCAGACAGAGAGAGGAGGAAGCAGGCTCCCTGCTGAGCAGAGAGCCAGGTGCGGGGCTCGATCCCAGGACCCTGAGATTATGACCTGAGCCGAAGGCAGAGGCTTAATCCACTGAGCCACCCAGGCACCCCTCAACCAGGCTTTTTAATGTGATGGTAGCTTCTTTTTATTTTCCACTGAGTCATTTTATTTGCATGTATGTATTACATCGCTAGAAAAAGAATCTCAGGATTTTCCCTCGTGTTTGTTTTCATCTTGCTTCTTCATGGTCCATGATGCCACCTGAGGTTTTCAGGACAATGAAGCCAAACTGGAGGGAAGGGAACAGATTCTTCTGCCATTTTGGTAGATCTTTGAGTTGTACATCAAATCTGGGGCTGACCACTCCACATGTGTTTAGCCTTTCTCTGAGGTTCACAGCAATGTTTCCAGCTTGGTGATCATCAGTGTTTTCAAATTCCCAATGTAACCCTGGCTTCATCATCACAGTTAGAAACAGGGCGATGACTTTGGAGCATGGGCTAATATGACCTGCCTTTGCCTCTCTTCTAGGCACTGTTAATGATCTTGGAGCATCTGCCAAGATACTCATGTGACCACTATGTCAACAAGGAAAGACGGCAGAAAGAGTGATTTTGTTTTTTTATGGAAGTAAGTAGTGGTGGAGAATAACCAGTGTTGCCCTGTAGACCCCTCACTTCATTCTTGCCAAGTTTTACCTAAATGCAAATGTCAACATGGTGAAAATGTCTAAGTAATGTTAGGAAAACAGTTTTAACCTCATGGATTCTGTGAAAGGGCCTCAGTAACTTCAGGTGTTCCCCAGAACACACTTTGAGAACAGCTGCTCTGAATAACCCTGGGAGAGTCTCCTGCTGGTCCTGCCCTGGCCTCCTCCTCACTCAGCAGAATCCCTTTCCCTGAGCTGTACTTCCTGCCTCTGAAAACCCATCTCTGACTTGAGCCCCTGAGTGCATCTAGAGGAGACCTCACCTCCTGGAAATGTGCTGGCAGAGAGGGTCCCCAGTCTGGGAAGGCAGGTGGAGGGACAGGGATTTCCCTTTTGTAACTGGGGACAGTTTGTACCTGAAGACACCAGACCCAAGCATAACCGACTTTGATTTTGTGACCCACCAGCTTCATGTGTATTCACATCCTAGACAGAAATCTGGTGTCGTCTATAAGAGAGATCATGTTGGTTTTTTCAGTTTACATGTGTCTCTTGCATCTGACTTGTGACCCATATGGCATGAAGCACAGTACTTTCCAATAACAGTCTGTGTGGAAGAATTGTATCCGCTCTGTTCAGTATGGTGGCCATGAGATGCATGTGGCTCTTGAGATGCAGGTGGCACTTGAAATGGGGCTAGTGTGCTGAGCAGTTGCATTTATAAATTGTTTTAAATTAATAGGAATTTAAGTAGCCATAGGTGACTCATAGCTTCTATTCAAACAGTATATATCCAGAACCTTCTTAGTTTTCAGGATCCTCCTCAAGAAAGATACTGTGTGACTCATTGGTGTATGTATATTAAATTTACCTTTAAATGGAAGTTATGAATTTATCTATGTGAGTCTGAGACATATCTTTAAAATACAGCATGAAAGTTTAATTACCATGCATTGTAACAGCTGAAGTGTACAGACATTAACCAAAACATAATGTATCATATCAAGGTCATAAGTATTGAAAAAAGCCCATTACTGGAGCTAACTGATGTCTCTATTACTTTGGCTGTCTTCTTGGTGTTGTTTGCATTCAGCTGGTAAACATAAGCAGGCATATAAGTCTTCACTGAGCCCAAGTGAGAGGATTTATTGAACACAACATATGTTAGATACCTCATAGACTCTGTACATACTCATAAAAATCATAAAGCAGAAAATGGACATCTTAGATTCCACCACCTTAGAAACTTTATGTGTTCTCCTCCCCAAACTTTTGCCCAAATTCAGACAATTCTTTGCATTTTCCTTCTCCTTTAAAATGCTCTGCTCTTCGTTTCCACTGAGGGGAAAATATACATGAAATGTTTACAACTATGCAATGAAGAATTCTCTAAGCATGGCCTAATGATGAAAACCCATAAAGAAAAATGTGAAATTTCAGCATGTGATCCACACACTCACAAAGATACAGATGCATGTCCATGATCAAAATAAAAAATAGAAAAAAAACAGTTTTCACAGAAAAAGGGTAACGTGCTTCAATGTTCTTCAGCTCAAGACCACCAGGAGCACCTGTGGGCATTCAAGTTGGATCCATCACCTGTTGCAGTGAGAGAGAACACACCCCTTTGGGGGCCACGGGGCATCTTAATATGAAGGTGTTGGACCCTATAGGATCTGGACTTTGGATGGGAGTTTTGGAGAGGATCTGTGGAAGCTGGGGCCCACTCCCAGTTGCATGTTGTCAGGACGTGTGGGCAACCCTATGGTTGAGCATCTCAGTGAGTCCGCTCTCCAGCAGCCAGACCAGATGGAGGAGAGAGCAGTCATGGTGGAGAAGCAGCGATTGCTCACATTGGCTGACACAGGGAGATGTGTGTTATTTTGTGGGTTGTACAGTGCCTTGTTTTGTCTGTAATGACACAGAAGAATGTCGTGGTTTCAGAGTGTCCTTGTCTGATGCTGATGTTCCATGAGGTGACTGACTTATGTCCTACAGGAGAAGAATTTGGCCAAGGGGTAGACATTAGACATCTTCTGACCACACTGAGCTCAACCGTCAGTGTCAGACCAGCTCCCCATGTTGGGGGCTCCTGGCTCTTCTCTCTTCCAATCCATATTTTAAAATAGCTACAACCCATTCAAAACATAATTATAGAATT